AAAAAAAAAAAAAAAGAAAAAAAAAAATTGTGTTGAAGTTGTATTTCTTCTGTCCAAATACACATTTCAAAAACAAAACTACATGTCATTTGTATTAAATGTTTAATATTACTTCTCAGTGAATTTTGAATATAAAAGTTGAAATAATAGAAGTTTAGTGATTGTTTTAATATAAATTCCCACATAAACAGCTCGTCAGAACACTGTGTGTGTGCGTTTTAAGAGAATTATGAATTTTATTGTGAATCACTACAAAGGATTATAATAGCAAATTTATAGGTTAGAAAGCATTTACCTTTTTTTTTTTAAAGAAAAAAATTTACTTTTGGTATCCAAAAAATACCTTATTATTTTGTTTTTGTTAGTCGAGGTTCCAGGTTCAAACTTAATATCAATTCCGATCCAAAACCGTAAAAACTAACAGCTGCCACCTTTCGTAGCCCATCGCGGTCTCCTCTAGTGGCGAATTTCAACAAATCATATACCATTTCGACCCTATCAACTCGACCTATCTAACTATACATTCGATTTAAAAATACGACACCTCAAAGTTAGTCAAATCATTGTTATGGTTTTTCTTTTTTTGTCCAAAATGTCCCTTCAAGTTTGACTTAGTGCTTCTAGAGATCTGGTCACCATTTGATTTTAGAAAAAGTATATGTGCGGATAACCCTTTTTTTCTAGTAATGAAGTGATGTCTCCTGATTGCAGATTAAGTCTCTTAAAATCCCGTGTGAGTCAGCAAGGACCACCTTGTATGGCTAAATACTCTGGGGTAGCCGGCGAAGTTTTTTAGTTTTCAGGGTAATTATGGTGATTGGGATAAAATGAAATCTCGTCGGCATATTATTTGCTATTGAAAACTTAATTTATTACCGGAGACATCATTGCATTTCCAAAAAAAAAAAAAAATAAAGAGCAGGTTTCTATACATATATTTCTCATACAAATCCAACAATGAGATATCAGATAACACTCGTCAAACATTAAAGAGCATTTTGACTGAATTTTTTTAAAAAATTTAATGAGAATTTTGACGAACTTTGAAGTATCGTGTAATGAAATATTAGGTGCTGGTAGAAAAGTAGACCTCGGAGTTTCAAAATGATATATTGTTTGCTGAAAATCGTTGAAAGAAAAAAAAAAAAAAGTTTTCTACACATATATTTTCATACAAATTCAACAATGAGATCTCTTATAGCACTCGTCAAACTTTAAAGCGCAGTTTGATTCATTTTAAAAAAAAATTATTATTATTATTTTTATTTTTTGTAGACTGAGGAATCATATAATGAAATTTAAGGTGTTGCTGGAAAAGTCGACTCGAGAGCTTCAAAATAATATATTATTCGTTGAAATCCGCCACTGAATCCGCCATCGGCGGGCTGCGATAACCTCTAGTTTATTAGAAATTTTTTACAATTTGGACCATTAATTTTATAAACTTCAAATATTAAAATTGATTTAATTAAAATAAAAAAATAACTATACTTAGAGCATCCAATACTCAGATGTTGTTGTGGTATATTATACTCCACATCGACACATTTAGTAATGTCACAACTTTTCATCTTACAATGTATAATGTGATCATAGATATTGTGGTGATGTAGATATAATTAATGTTTACAATGTAAAAAAAAAAAAAATACAATTCATCTATATTCTCCTTCAGACTCTCCCCCTATATATTAATCCAGAACACGCTGAGCCTACGTGGCTGCTTCTGGTGCTTCAGAATCCTATGTGGCAAAATTACATGCTTCGTTATTAGACTTGAGTAAATTTTAATTTAAATTCCAAACCAAAATAATTAGGTTCGGATTACCATAAATATGTTGATTATTTATGGTCATATTACATGCAATAATTGCATTTTAATATCATTCCTTATTATAACTATTAAATTGTATATGTATTTTAAAAGTTAATAACATTTGTATTTTTTATCAGTTTTGCATATGTAATATATCAAATTAATCTTCTTTTGACGAGCTTCGATTTAACATCCATATTGTATGTATAAAAAAAAAATTATATTTATCTTTATAACAATAATAAAATTATTTTTAATATTAGTTAGAAATATAAAATTATTTATCAACTAATACATTTATATTTCAAGTAGTTATATGATATAAGTTATAAAAACTATTATAATATAACAAATGTAAGTCATAAGTAACACATATCATTCTAAAATATATAGTAATATATATTTTTTTTGTAAAAAAGTAAACTAAATTTAATATAGTTTTCTATTTAATTTTACAATTTAAGAATAATTTTTTAACAAACACCCGTATAATACACGGGTGTTGTACTAGTGAAAAGATGAGAGAGAATTCTTCTTACCAATTTTAAGTTATTTAATTATTTAATTGATTTTCTTACTTCTTATTAGAATTTTAATATTTGGAAAGTAGATAGAGATAGTATCCTAATTAATCTAATCGTGCAATTAAGATAATTTTTTAATTTCACAGTTGTAAACTTAACATTATTGCTACATTAATCACAATTTATTTAATTTATTGACATTTATAAAACAAAAAAAAATATAACAACGTTAAGGCATTGGAAGTGCTCTCAGAGCATCTCCAATGGTGAACTTGTACTGTATGTAGAAATTAAATAGATAGTCTTCCATCCATGTAGAAGAATTAGATGTTTAAACCCATAAAATATCTCCAATAGTTTATTTATTCAACGTAGCAGTTACCTTTTTTTTTTAGCAATTCCGTTCTTCTAATTAGAAAGAGAGAAAATCATCATGTCTAACAGGACTTCTACATGTAGAAGGAAGTCTGAATTTTATTCATTCTTTCTCTTGCCACATCATTATGAACAGAATCTAGACATTCACGATTAGAGACTTTTTTTTATTGAACTTCCTCCATATTTTTACAATTAACCATCATTAGGGATGACTCTCACATGCTTGTACTAAATATTCTCCCCCAAATTTTCCTTCTCTTAGGTCTTAGCTCATTATGACCCCCAATGAAATTATTTACAAAATAAATAAATAAAATAAAATTCTTTAAAAAGTAAAATAAAAAGCCCTATTGAAAGACGGGCCTTCTCTTTCTATCGCCTCTTCGTGTCGTTTAGGCAACACCAGTTGAACTTAAAAGGAAACAAAACCAAGAAATAAGACAGCCCCTCTTTCTCTCTTTGTGCAAAGCAACATTTCCAAGAATTGTATATAACTATGCGGTTATGTTTGACAGGTAAATCCAGGCATAACCCATTAATATGCCCACTCGTTTTACCAATTTATTTAGGCTCATTATATTGCCCCTTTGACAAAACGTATGCTTTTTTTTTTTTTTTTNNNNTTTTTTTTTTTTCCACTCATTTTTGCGTGGCCAATCTTCAGATTTTGAGCCTTTTGGATAGACCCATTTTGTCAGAAGGAGCGATTTTGCGTTCAAAGGTACGATTTTTATGAGTTTTTTATTTTTTTCGTTTACTTTTTCTTCTTTGGAATTAGAGTGTCTTGGGGATCTGCCCCCGTTTGATTCTGCAATCTCGATGCTATTTTTCAGCTGATTTTTTGTTGTTTTTTTTTGTCCTTAACTTGGTGTTCTGTTGCTTGATGGCTCCCTTCTTCGTTTTAATAATCTCTTTCTGCTGATAATGAATCGTTGATAGAAAGAAAGAGAGAGAAAAGAGAGTGATCTGTGTTTTCAGGTTGGTTTTACATAGATGTGTATGAAATTGCAGTTGCTTGGTAAAAACAATGAAAAACAAGAATAAGATTGAAATAGTTCTTCCTTGCATTGTATAGCTTGATTTTGGCTTTCTTTCTTCATTTCTTAGATCCCTTTAGTGTATCCATGAAAAGGGCCTTGCTCGAATCTGTGGTTGATTACTCTTTTCGAATCATTTGATCTACATGTGTTTTGCTGAAACTTGAGAGAATTTTGTGCATTATATTGGTCTATGAACATTCAGTTCTGCTTCAAGTTATTAGCATGTTACATATTTGCATCTTTGGAGAAGTTAATTTCTACTGATGATTGTCATTTGTGGTGAAAAGATGGCGATAATTTGTCTTTCTTTTGCTTGATCCGTTCTGTTTTTGTTGCTGCCTTTGTTTCTTGTTTCGTTTATCTGTCCTTTTCTGTCAGCATAGTTGATTTTCATCAGTTTCATATTTTTATTCCTTTTATGGTGAATCCTCTTCTAACAGTGCTTTCGCTGGAATCCATCTAACTACACGTGTCCGTGTAAGTTTTGATCTACAAAAAACGTGTCGACTATCAATCGATAGAAATTAATGCTAATGTTTTACGCACGCCAGCTAGTAAATGAGATGGCCGATGAGAACTTGGACTTGAGAAATGTTATTGATGCATCTGTAATTCACAATGATTTTGTTTTCATTTCTCGGGTTAGTGTAGCAACTGCAACGATCTTTTTGTGGAGTTTTCTGTGTCTTAAGGAGATAAGTACAAGTTTTAAGCATTTGCATGGGCATTTAGCTTGATTTAGTTCTTCGAAATTCAATTCTATAGGAATTTCTCGTGCAGGTCTCAAAGATTCCTAGTCATGGAAGCAGAAACTTCATGGGTGAGCCATTGCAATAGTAACTCACCAAATCACAATGTGGATTTCGACTCATTCTCGGATCTCAACGAAGTTGAAGCTGAAAATGAAATTCTAGCCGTCTCTTTAGATTTAATTTTACCAGACGACCTCTTGGAACGTATACTGACCTGCCTTCCAATAGCTAGCATCTTTCGAGCAGGCGCCGTCTGCAAAAGATGGCACGATATAGTGACATCAAGGAGGTTTCTAATAAACACTTCCAACGTGTTGTATTCGCAGAAGAAGCCTTGGTACTTCATGTTCACCAGCTCGGACGAGCCCATTGGCTATGCCTACGACCCCATCCTCCGTAAATGGTACAACATCGAGCTCCCATGCATAAACACTTCTAATTTATTCATAGCCTCCTCGTGTGGATTAGTGTGCTTCATGGACAAAGACAGCCGAAATGGGCCGTACTTGTGCAACCCAATTACGAAATCTTGTTGCGGGCTGAACGATCCTCCTGGCCCGAAATTCTCGGACTACAGCTCGTTGGCTGTCTCGGTCGACCGGGCCTCGTTCGAGTACGAGGTCTCGGTCGTGAAGTGCAAGGAGATCCCGGGAAACTTCTTCCAGTGGGACTTGTCGATCTGCGTGTACTCCTCGAGGGATGCCACGTGGACGATGACCCTGAACGAGACCCTGACGGGGTGGCGGGCCGGGGAAGAGAGTGTGATTTGCGGTGGGGTCCTATACTTCTTGATCTACTCTGTTGGGGGCGTGGGCCCAGCCCAACCTGAGGCCCGCCACGGACTCCTGGCATACAACCTGATGGCCCGGCCCGTGCGAGGGGCTCTGATGGGGAGCTTTGTGCATGTGCCGTGCCCTTTGACATGCGGACGTCTGATGGGCATAGGGGGGAAGCTCGTGATGGTCGGGGGAATCGGGAAGCCCGACCGCCCGGGCATCATCAAGGGGATAGGTGTGTGGGCCCTGGAAGGGAAGGAGTGGCGGGAGATGGCTCGGGTCCCACACAAGTACTTCCAGGGCTTTGGTGAGCTGGATGATGTGTTTGCCAGCAGTGGCACGGATGACTTGATATACATACACAGTTACGGGTCGCCAATGCTTCTCGTTTTCGACGTGAGTTTGAGGCAGTGGAAGTGGTCCCAGAAGTCTCCGGTCACCAAGAAATTTCCCCTACAGCTTTTTACAGGCTTTTGCTTTGAGCCGAGATTGGATATAGTGCCTTAGTGCTTGAGGAATTGGATCTTTGTGTTGTGTTTTTTGTTGTCGACGGTGGACGATGGTACGCTGTTTCTTCTGACTCTTATGATTATGCTTTTTTTTTTTCTCTTTTGCTGTGCTTTCTTCTTACAGACAACTTTGTTGAGATAATGGGGATTATAATGAAGGTAATAGGTGGTTCACATCATATATGGAGAATAGTGTACTTATTCTTTATATTGGAAAATTGACTCGAGTTGATATGGATTTTGAGAAGTTGGAAGGATATTTGATTGGTTTTTTTTTTTCGTCTTCACCTTTAATGTTCAAAAGAAATATGTTTCGGAACCTTGTGTTCTCTTTCAAAGTTTCGCTAAAGTTCAGCCTTCCAAGAGTATTCGTATAGTTAACTTTCGAACGTGCGAGAAGCAAACACCGGTCCATTTTTATTCATGCTCAGGGATCAGTGTGTTATGTGACTCAGGTTTTTGAGCATATGCATACCCACAGGCACAATGAATGGTGTTCTCATTTGACATGAAAATTGTGGAAACAGAGGCCTGCCTGCTTGCTATCTATAGACATTGGAATTTTATAGTTCTGAGTTCTGATTTTGCTTGTAAACTCAGTTTGTACATCTAACATATTGAAAGTTCAACCAATGTTTTGTTCAAATTGATTGATTGGTTTTTCCGTATTTGCATTTTCATCCCTATAACATTTTCTTGTTTCTTCAAAGCCCCTCTTCAAAACATTATCTTCCAATGTGAAAGTGAGTGAAAAGGGAAGGGCACCAAATACAACAGTCATTTGGTTGTTGTAATCAACATCTTCACTTTTCATAGATTTTGTATTTTCATCATTTCTGGTAAAAATATCTTCTATTAAGGTCTAATTTGGATAAGTTTTCTAAATTTTTTAATCAAGTATTACAGATTGATTTTAATTGACCAGTGGAGGAATATCATACTAATCTGACCATTCATCACTATATATATATGACCAGTTCTTGGCTACACCACAAAAACCAACACACAACCATAAATTTGTTTCCTCTTATTTTATTAAGACCATCTTTGTGTGAATTTTACCTTTCCTTGGAATATGGATAATAACTAACATTAATTTATATTTGAAAAGAATACATTAATATTCCCTTATATTCATAATAAGTGTCGTTTTGAGAAGTTGCACAGTCATTATGAATATTTTTTGCCAATAATAATCCTCGTTAGTGAGGATAAAGATAAATGTTTTGAGAAAAAGATGAAGAGTTAATATGAAAAGACGTAGTGTATTTATTATTTAGATGAGAGTAATAATGAAAAAATATGTAAAGAATACTCAAAACGACATTTATTTATTAGTAGATGATAATGCTAAAATCACATTTAAAAAAAATAGGAGGTAGTACTTAATATAATATCATGCAATTTGTATATATATATTTAAATAAAGAGGTACTTTTTTTTTTTTTTTTTTTTTTT